TCAAATGAGAAATACTTCTGGTAGTGAAAATCTGAATTATATAAATCTATAAACGGATAAAAGGTGAATATAAAATAAGAAACCTCTGGATTTTAGTGGTTTAATTTGCCAAAACCGTTTTTTTAAAGATAGCTCAGAGATAATTAAGAAACTTAAAGGTTCAATGTTTCTAATTTTTATTATAAAACGTTTCAAAATCAAGGAGCGCCACTGAGATCCGATAAAAGTTTAATCTTTAACATTTTCTAATTTCTGTTGGTAGGACGCCATATTTCCTCCTTTTCACTCCGTCTCCGTCTTTCTCCATCCTCAGACCACTCGGTGGCGGCCAAGTCCGGCGGCTGTTTCCCCGGCAACGCCTCGGTGATGTTGGAGAGCGGTGCTCTGAAGCCCATCGGCGACGTGCGTCCCGGCGAGCGGCTCCTGGCCGCCGCAGGCAGCGACGGGGATTTGATCTTCAGTGAAGTCCTGACCTTCTTGGACCGGGACCCGACCCCCCTCAGACTCTTCATCGCCCTGCAGACGGAAGCCGGGGCCCAGATCTCCCTCACCGCCGCCCACCTCATCTTCGTGTCCGAGAACTGCTCAGAGGGGACGGCTCCGGCCCCTGGCGCCCTGAGGACGGAGTACGCCAGCGCTGTCCAGCCGGGACAGTGTGTCCTGGTGTCGGACGGGGGACCGGGGCGTCTGTCCCGGATCGGTCGGGTCAGCGTGAGGGTGAGCAGGGGGGCGTTTGCCCCTCTGACCCGGCATGGGACCATCGTGGTGGACGGGGTGATGGCGTCCTGTTACGCTGTAGTGGACCATCACTGGCTGGCCCACCGGGCCTTCGCCCCCCTCAGGCTGATCCACAGCTGGACTGGAAGCACTGGGGGCCACAGCGACGGGGTGCACTGGTACTCACGGGTTTTACACTGGCTGGGCCGGACGCTGCTGGGGCCAGGGCGCCTTCACCCGCTGGGCGTGGCTCAGGACCACACGTGAGGGCAGAAAAAAAACAACTTTGAACCCCATTTGGGACCATCATGGACTTCCTGCTGAACTGGCAGAAAACCAGTAACAGACTGGAAACCAGGAGAAAGGTTCTGGATTCAGAGACGTTAAAAGAAAAACACCAGGAAACTAAAATCCCTTCAAAATAACTTGTTTTTATCCTCGTTACGAACAAAGTTTCCTCCAGTTTTAAAGGAAAAGTCCGATCAGAACAAAATAATCAATGAATAATTATTTATACCTAAAATTAATACGTTTGCGGTGATTTAATTAATTTAACGGTAATTAGTGAAGAAAATAAAAATAATTTTCATCGCGATCATTGAGTCTGGGAGCGGCCATTTTTTCCCAAATCTAGTAGCCCCTCCCTCCTGCCATCTTCCAGCAGTGACGTCACGGTGCGGTAAGCCTAGCGCCATTCTCCCCGCTTTCCAAGCTAAATCAATGGGAACTACTAGACACATCTGCAATCAACAACAATTATTGAAGATTTCCAGAGGACTTCACCATTGAAATTCACCAGAGCTATAGTGAAACTGACAAAGCCCATGTGCATGGCAGCTGGATGCTGGAATACATCAGGTAAAAGTGGAAAAAAGAGTTATTCCACCTTTCTGATTCCTGATCCTCCATGGACGGGTTCCCTTAAATTTAAATGATCTTGTTCTATTAGCAAAGTGTTTCACTTACCTCCTAAATTCAAGAAAAAATGCACAAATTTTAAGGAAAAAAAATGACATTGATACTTACTTTTTCTGCAGTGTGACCAACATTTTGTGCTTTTTATCGAAATCCAGATAAGTCTCTTTTATTTCTTTTTTTTTAATTAGTGCATTTTTTCTGGGATTAAGGAGGTAAAAGACAGATTTTGCCAATGGAACAAGAAAATTTACACTTAAAATAAGAAAACACTATTGTAATGTATTGTCTTATTTTAAGTGCATTTTATCTAATTATCTTATTTTAAGATTAAAAATACTAATTTCATTGGCAAACTATCTCACTTGCCTACTCAAATTAAGGGTAAATATACTTAAATTAAGAAATTATTACTTTTTTCTAGATCATTTTTCCAGTGTAGCAGGAATGTTGTTGGGTCTGCCAAACTGGAAAAGCAATCTAGAAATTATTAAATATTTTTTAAATTAAGTTTATTTACCCTTAATTTGAGAAGATAAATAAGAGTTTGCCAATGGAATGAGTATTTTTACTCTTAAAATAAGATTATTAGATAAAATGCACTTAAAATAAGACAATGCAATTGTTTTTTTCTTATTTTAAAAGTAAATTGTCTTGTTCCATTGGCAAAATGTATCTTTTACCTCCTCAATCCAAGAAAAAATGCACTTATTTTAAGAAAAAATTTACTAATCTAGATTTTGATTTATTTTCCAGTGCAGAGGGAGGATCTGTTGGTTACAGAATTACGCCGCAAAAACAATCTAGATATAAGCAAAAAAGGTTCAAATTAAGTGTAATTTCCCTTATAAAGGGAGGATTTGCCATCGAACTTCTGGCCAGAGAAAAAACCCGTAATATGTAGCCAACATTTGGAAGAAGAATGTTTTCAAGATGACTTGGATAATAGCGCGTTGTGACAAACACCAGATACAGCACTGGGACTTGATCAACAGCCGATACCGCACCGTGACGTCACTAACCAGTAGGTGGCAGTAGTGTTCTTTGACAAACATGGATGCCTCCAGTAAAGCACATTCACATGAAAATGACTCTGAATTAAAAACACTGATCATTTATTGAACAGGATGGAATCATTTCAGATTTAAAGAACTTTCTGAAGTTTGAATTCTGAATATGACGGAACTTTTCCTTTAACTTCCAGTCACTATGAAGACAGAAGGTTAAAACGTCACAGAGTCACTCTGAGCAAAAAGGTTTTATTTGTCTCCTTTAACCTAATAAAAACAGAGCGATGGATCATATTTTATAGCTTTGAAATAAATAAAACACTTTAAAAAAATCCATAAATATTTCAGAAAACTGTTCAAACCTCACAGATAATATTATTTAAATGGAAAATTGTAAAGATTCACTTAAATTAAAACATGTTTTCTTATTTATTTTATTTATATCAGGATATAAATCAGGATATAAATGAGCCAATAATTGGGGCAAAGCTAATATATTAAGATTTTTTTTTCATAAGTAAGAAGTTTTGTTCATTTTATATTAAAACTCCTTTAAAATCCAGTTTAATAAACAAACTGCAGGAGATTGAAGGGATTTAGTTTCATGGTGAGATGGGAGGTTTGTAAATATTTATCAGATTTCAGGATAAAGCTTAGATTATATTTAAAAACCCCACAATGTATTAATTAATAATATTATTGGTGAAAATTCAAAGATTTATTTTTTGAAATTAAAGGTTGTAAAACTGAGCTGATGTCTCTGTGTGTGATGTCTCAGATCTTCATGTTGTTCCAAAGATAAAAGCGAGACAGTAGAAGCTAAAACGGTGCATTAGGGACGTTTTTCGGAGATGCGGCGCCGTCGTAGCGTCCCGTACGGAAAGGCGACGGTCGTCAGGGAAACCAGTCCTGTACTGATGAGCTGATAAGATGCCGAGGAGGTTCTGGGTTGGAAATACAGGCAGGTGGTGCAGGAGGGACTGAAGCAAATCAGGCAACACCTCAATAAATAAAAACCATTTAACTCACAGCATACCAACCATTCTATTCAGTTTATTTCTATAGCTCCGATTCACATCATGTCATCTCAGGTCACTTTATCACCAGATCATCCAGTCAGATTGATTCAAAGTTTTCTATCTAAGGAAAACCAGCTGATTGCATCGACTCATTGACTCTTCAGCAATCCCTCACACTAAGCATGCTTGTAGCGACAGTGGAGAGGAAAAACTCCCTTTGAACAGGAAGAAACCTCCAGCAGAACCAGGCTCAGTGTGAGCGGCCATCTGCTGAGGCCCACTGGGGTTCAAGGAGACAGAAGCAGACATAGAAAAAGGAAAAAGGGGTCCCTATGTCCTCCAGCAGTCTAAGCCTATAGCAGCAGAACTATAGAGATAGCTCAGGATAACCTGAGCCACTCTAACTAGAAGCTTTATCAGAAAGGAAAGTTTTAAGCCTAGCCTTAAAAGTAGACAGGGTGTCTGCCTCACGGACTAAAACTGGTAGTTGGTTCCACAGGAGAGGAGCCTGAGAACTAAAAGATCTGCCTCCCATTCTACTTTTAGAAATTCTAGGAACCACTAGTAAACCTGCAGATTGAGAGCGAAGTGCTCTGTTAGGAACATAAGGAACAATCAGATCTCTGATATCAGATGGAGCTTGGCCATTTAAGGCTTTATATGTGAGAAGGAGGATTTTAAATTCTATTCTGGATTTAACTGAGTTAAGGTGGATCAAAGCAAAGCCACCTTAAAAAAACGCTCCAGCTCTACAGTTTCTCTCAGGAGGAACGGGCCAGTCCCCAAGTTTTAAAGTAAAGGTTAATAATCCAATAAGATGATGAAATTTTTAAAGTTAATTAAGCTACAGAAATAACTTTTCTTCATAAATCTGTTTAGTCAGATTTAAATAGGACTGCGAGGGCGGAGAAGGTTGAGTCTTTTTAGGGAAATTATGCTTTTACCTCTTGCACCATAATTTGGATTCCTAGTTAATTTATACTTGTTTTATACCAAGTTTATTTCTTTATATCTTTTATTTTTTTAAATCAGAAGCTCAGGAAGCTGTCTGAGGGCCTTTTTGCCCCTCCAGCCCCCATTAGTGACGCCATTGCTCCGGTTACCTTACTATCAGCGCCCCCTGCTGTTACCTGGAGGTAGCGGAGGAGGGAATGTGCGTCTCCGCGGCTCTCTGGACCGATTTAGCCTCACATTTGACACGGAGCGGCTTAAATAGGAGCAGCAGCGCATGTGTGCAACAGTTGGTCTGCTAATAATAACAGGCCGCTGCGCCTTTAAGAGGCTGAATGCATATCTGCTCAGTTTGAGGTAATTAAGGAGGAGAAGGGTTCAGAGCTGCTGCTGATCACCGAACCGAACCGAACCGAACCTCCTGCTGCTGCTGTTCTTTTCTCACAGACAGACAGACAGACAGACAGACAGGTACAGGTCGGATTAAATTACGCATTGCGCCTTTAAGAAGCTGTCAACAGGATTAGAGTTACGCACGGCTGGCCGAGGTCGCGCGCACCGGAGCGCTTTTTACGCACAGAGGAGCGACATTTGTCCCTCTGGTTTCTTCCTCTCCGTGGGCCCGGACACAGCTTCCACGCAGCGCGACATGGCAGAGATCGGGAAAGGGGTGACAGCCGGGAAACTGGCCCTGAACGTCCAGAAGAGGCTGAGCAGGGCGCAGGAGAAGGTAGGCAGGCAGCAGGACGCGGTGTCAGGGTGTGAAACTGGATCCCTGGGCTCAGAAAGCAGCAGTTTGATGCTGGTCCGGGGCTCCCTGGAGCTCTGGAAGCCTTTAGCTCATTTTAAAGTTTAAAGATTAGAGATAGAAATGTCTAATTAACGCAATTAAATGCTTTATAACAGGGTATTAAACTCATACATTAAAAACATACTAGAAATGTTTAAAAAGTAGGTCTACATTAAGATATTAACTGACAATTTTACAAAATACATTTAAATAAACCAAGAAATGTTCATTTTGAATGTTAAAAGCACTAAATGAAATATATAAAGCAAACATGGAGAAGAAGCTGCTTTGATCACATGAGGCTGAACTGGACTTTTTGCTCCATTTGTTAAATGTGTATAAATTTACTCTTTGTCAGACAATATTGTCCCAAAAGTTAGAAAATTTCTTTTCAAAAAATAAAATCCCATCTTAAAATCTGAGTTTTCTTTCGTTATCTTCTGCAGGCCAGTTAGTTCTACGTCAGCCTGAACACCTAAATTCGGCCAATCATGTATCAACGGTCAATCAAATGTTTTCGGTCATAGCATCTTGATTCATATGTCGCAGCTAATATACGCAACGGTTGAAATCAGAATCCTTCCCTTTCCCATTGAGTTGCGTCCCAGTGTTCACGGGGATGGACGTCTGTGTCTTCGGCAGGCGTAGAGCTAACAGAACTGGCAGCGTTGCGAGGCAAGGGCTCAAACATGTACGGCTGGAAGCCTTCTACACCAAACCAAGCTTCTGGCGCCCTGGCGTCCTCTTCCACAACATCTTCGTCCCCGCTTTCCTCCTCTAAATAAAAAATGGATGACGGAGGAGACTCATCCACGACCTCCGACACTAAACTCTCCTCCTCTTGCATGTTTCCGCTGTCCATAGCGTTCCTTGACAGCGTCGTTTCTAAGTCACCAATTTAGTGCTACTTGGTCCCAATGGAATTTCCCATTGGGAACCTGCTAGCACTAAGATGCTAACTGGTTAGCAAGATGCTTCCGACAAACCGGCCACAACCAAACTTGCTTGCAAACCTTCCGCCACAACAATCCCGCCCCCTTGATAATCGACCAATCACATTCACTTTATTCACTCGGGTAAAGTTGGGCACCATTCAGGAGCATTTGGGAATGCAACGACTTTAAGATCAAGTCAGAGTCACATGTCAGAGCGGCCTAGTCAAAGCCCAGACCTAAAATCAAATGAGAATCTGTGAGAAGACTTGAAGGGCTCAAAGTTTTCTGCAAAGAATGGGCTGAAATTTCAGCCTGCAGATGTTAACCCCCCACCCAAGATCTGCAGCTGGACCTAAAACCAAAGATGGCTCCACTAAGTCCTGACTCAGGGCCGCTAAATGCAAACATTTTTGTGTGCATAATCGTCCCTCCCCTTCACTAAAATCCCAACAACCATCAAATGATGCGATTTAAACTCAATTACACTGCAAAAATGACCTGAAAATAAGTACAAATTTCTTAAATTAGGTGTATTTACCCTTAACTTGAGCAGATAAATCAGATAGTTTGCCAATGGAATGAGTATTTTTACTCTTAAAATAAGATAATTAGATAATAGTGCACAATGCAATAGTTTTTTTCTTATGTTCCATTGGCAAAATGTCTCACTTCCACAATTCAAGAAAAAAATAAACTTATTTTAATAAATAATTACTTTTTTGCAGTGTAAGTGAGGAAAAAATAAAAAGTTTCCATATTTACATTAAGAATTAATAAGCTGTGTGGTGCAGCAGGACTCCTATGTATCAGAAACATTTAACATTTATATAAACATAAGAAAAGAGTTCCTAAGGTTTCTGGTAAAGGAAGAACTAAATTCCCAATAGATCCTAAAAGTGTTTTATTATTTAATACTTAACATGATGATTAGAAAACCCTTTTTAACACAGTTTCTTCTGACTGGATGTTTGGAGTCGTTTTATTTTAGACGAGACCAGAGTAGAGATATTAGAGTTTAAAGCCAAGCGCTACCAAACACCCGAACCCTGCCATTAAGCACAGCGATGGCTGTGTGATGCTTTGGGCTTCGTTTGCTGCTATAAACCCAGAACACCTGCAGGTATGGACTGGACCATGAACTCCTCTGTAGCTTGGTCCAAACTCCCAAAAAGACGAGCTGGCAGCCGATCTATAGCAGAATGTATGAACGAGGAAACGGCCTAGTCAAAGTCAGGATCTCATCCTGGCTGATACAGTTTGGGCCTTAATGAAGCTGTGCAGCAATCTCAGTAAATTCCTCTGCAGTGAGGTGAGACGGATGATCTCAGAGGGAAAGGATGGCTTAACCTCAGAAGCTTCTGGATCACAGGGTTTAGATTCACCTTTTTTACAATCGTTCTGGTTTCGTACAAGAATCAAAGCTCTCCCACATTTAGCTTCTAAACAACAACTTTAGATCCAGAAAACTTTCAAACGACGGACCAAAGTGTCTGAATAAGACCTGAGCGACAGTCTGTGTGGAGCAGAGTTCTTATTGTCGGCTCTAATCACTCTTGTTGCTTAAGCTGCTGAGGTTTTGCCCTTTAATCACCTCGGAGCCACACCAGGAGCGCCATCGCTCGTTAGCTCAGAGAGCCTGGACAGACCCGGTCCTCCTCGGCTCTATGGATGCTTTGAATCACAGCAGAGTTCAAACATGTTCCAGGCTGCAGCTGCTGGTCAGACGTCGGTCAAAGACGCTGGGTTCAGCCGCGGTACAAAACAGGAAGACTTTAACGGAGCTCTGGGAGGGACTGGAGGCTGGCTGGGGAGCGCTCCTTGGTTGGGTTCTGGATTTGGTTGGGGACTCAGTTGGTGTTCGGTTGGAGAATACCTCAGTTTGTGTGGGAAGCATGGCTTCAACACATACATGACTGTTCCATTAACGTCCAACTCTGTTTGATACAATTTAAAATTCTACATAGGCTGCATTACTCCAAGGTTAATGTGCATAAAACATTCCCAGACATATCGGCCTTGTGTGAGAAACGTGAACGTGCGACCTTATCACACAGCTATGCCCTTTGCCATAAAGTGCAAATATGCTGGGGTGACATATTTTTCTTTATTCCTTTATTGTTAATCTCCCATTGAGAATAACAATCTCTTTTTCAAGGGAGTCCTGGCCAAGATCACATTACAGTTTACAATTACATCTATCTATAATTAGGAATTCCTAAAACAGTTACAAACCATAGATCTTATTTCCAAACCTTTGAGCAATCGTTTAAAATGTCCGATTGGAATCAAATCCTGAAGATTGTTCCATGCTGTGGGGGCAGAGTACTGAAAAGCCGTCTTTCCAGCTTCAGTGCGGACACTAGCTACAGACAGAAGCAAAGACTCTTGGGAAGGTTTCATTTCCTGTCTGGGATTCTGGAAGTCCAGATAATCCCAGATCCTGTTCTGATCTTTCTGGGAATATCTGATAAGCTCTTAAAGCTTACTGAAGGACAGCGGCGCCTCCTGTCTTTTGGTGTTATAACTGCCAAGAAACCGATCCTTTTGCATTGGAAGGAAAAAGAAGTACGGTCATCTAAGCGCTGACCTGAACGACACCTTTCACCTGGAGAGAATCAGATGCATTCTAAAAGAAAAACTGAGAGAGTCTGAAAAAACTTGGCAGGCGTTAAATAACTGACTATAGCCAAAGCGTAGCACTCCTGGGGGAGGGTGGGGGGGGGGGGTCTCTTGTATTTGATACTTAATTTCTTTACAGCGCGATTCTGTTTGTTGTTTTTTATTTTCAGTACCATCATTATTGTAGTAACTTTACTAGGGATGCACGATATAATCGGCGCCCTATCGGTATCGGCCTTAAAACTGAATATCGGACGTCGGCCACCCCACCGATATTTAACCCGATATTTGATCAGCTTCTGAGTTTCTAACGTCTAAAAAAATAAAAAGTAAAAATACTACTTCTTCTTCTTCCTCAAAAACTTCTTTTTTTACAGACTTAAAAACTTCTAAAGACGAGGGAAAAAATATTGATCCATTAAAATATCCCAATATCTTCATATGCTGATATATTGCCATTTAAAAACACCATATCAATCTCTTTTACTAATGAAATATTGCTATATGTCATCGTTATGCTACGAAATCCCCCCAAAGTTCACCAAATGTTGCCATATTTTTATATGTTGATATATTGACGCGGTATCGATCTATTTTACTAACAAAATCTCACAAGAATTTGCAAAATATCACCAGAGTTTGTAACAGAACGATGAAATTTCACCAGATTTTGAAAGTAAAATAGATCGATACCGCGTTTTTAAAAATCAATTTGATATCAGCGTATGAAAATATATTTGAGTATATTATTTTTCAAAGTGTCAGAAATGGATAACAAAAGTGCTATTTTCAATGACTACTTATTTTTGTCCAGCTTTAACATCGGTATCGATATCGGTTATCGGCTACATGAGTTTTAAAATATCGGCATATCGGATAGGCCAAAATCCCAATATCGTGCATCCCTAGATTTTACTGTTTACACTGGAAAAATGATCTAGAAATGAGTAAAAAATGATTAAAATAGGTGTATTTACTCTTAATTTGAGAAGGTAAATAAGATAGTTTGCCAATGTAATTAGTTTTTTTACTCTTAAAATAAGATAATTAGATAAAATGCACTTGAAATAAGACAATGTAATTGTGTTTTCTTATTTTAAGGGTAAATTTTCTGGTTCCATTGGCAAAATTTTTCTTTTATCTCCTTAATCCAAGAACAAATGCACTTATTTTTAGAAAAAAATTACTTGTCTAGATTTCGATTTTTTCCAGTGTATTATGTTTTTATTATCTTTATTTTTATTATAGATATTGTCACTTTGCCTGTTTGTTGTTTATGCATCAGGCTTTTTCTTAAAAGGAAACATGTAAATGTCAGATCAAGTGTCTTGATAAAAGAAATGTTTCACTATGAAATATATCTGAAACAGATCTGGTTTGGGAGCA